GCCCAGAGCCATATTATTAACATCAACATGCCTTGTTCACTGAATTTAATCATTTCTAACAACTACCTTTAGATGCCATCATAAATGAAGGTAGAAGTAATAAATAAATCATGCCGAAAATTGTAAACAAAAGCGGAGTGGGGGAGTGGCTGGGCCAACGCAGATTCATACACGTTTTCTCTGATGGCTGAGCAGAGAAAACATAATGTTGTCCCTCCACCCGGTCCACAAGTATTATTATCAGAGCATATAAAATATGCAATAAATGCCAGACAACAAGTTTACATTAACTTATATTAAGTTAGCAATAGAAATAGGCATTAAAAACACAATAAAAGGTAAGATACACACACAGTACACTTATTACTTACCTTAAAATATTAATATTAATGTGTGAGAGGTGAGTGGCAGGGTGTTTATTGAATAAAATCAGAATGGCACACCATCATCCTCTAACTTGGCACTTAAAGCAAGAGGCTTATGACTTCGATTTTTATTACAGCTAACCTTAGACGCCATCGTCAATGAGAGCCAACTAGTTAACGAAAGAGTAGAGAGAGAACGAGATACAGAGTTGAGACAATGTAAGAACACAAACTGAACAGGTAGTGGACGATCACTTGGTCAGGCGAAATAAATGCGTATTAATGTGTGTCTACTTTTAGTTCATTCACGTCCATTTGTAAGAGTTTGTAAAACATTTACCTCAATATTTTTGTTGTTTTAATATTAATTACCTCACAATACAAATACTCTTACATTGTGTACAAGTTAGTTCAGAATAAACAAACAGCAACACACCAATTTTAGAGTGAATGAAGATAATAATATTAATAATAATAATAATAATAATAATAATAATAATAATATTATTATTATTAATAATAACAATAATAATAATAATAATAATAATAATAATAATAATAATAATTATTATTATTATAAAAAGCACTAAACCCACAAGGGTCATTAATTGCTATACATAGAGTAAAGGCATACGAAAAGAATATTTTTCTACAGTTACCTCCCAGTGTTTGACTAGAGAAAACATAATTCTTCCGACACTACCTACACAGCTGCTTTGTAAACAAATCTCATATTTACATCAATTTTTATTCTGAGTGTATATATCATGTTTATATGCTATGTAATGGGTTTCATATATAATTTTGAGGAAAATATCATAGATGGATTAATGAAAATGCCTATATTGATGTAAAATAAGACATTTAGTGTGCCCAAGAGTGGTTATTATTACGTAGTATTGGCGTCATGAGTAGAGAGACACTTAGCGATTTTAATGTGTACCTGCACACCAGCAGTGTGTAAGTATATTTAGGTACAGGTACACTTAAGTATAATTATCAGAGTACATATAAAATATGCAGTAACTTTAAAACACTTGAAATTTTGGAAAGTTTCCTGACATAATAGATGTGGTCACGGAAAATGTAAACAAGCTGGGTGGGGCGCCGTATTTAAAAGACCGCTTGCCGTATAGCAAATTTTGGTCATAATTTGACATCGCCGTATTAGCGGAATGCCCTAAGGCGAAACGCCGTAAAGCGGGGCCTTACTGTACTAGTACAGCACCAACCCTGGCATGCAAGCCGTACTCGTACGACACCGACCCTGAAAGGGTTAAAAAGAATGAGGTAAATATACGAGTGTGTTATGATTGACTGACAGACTTACTCAACTGACTTATTTGACTGATTTACTGACTGACTTTACTGATTTGACTTACTGACATGACTTACTGAGACTATGACTCTTACTGATTTGACTGACTTACTTTACACTTACTGATGACTGACCTAATGACTGACCCACTTGACTGATTTACTGTGAACACATGTTCAGCTCCATTGTCTTAGGAGCTAGCTGTGTTTGTGACATGTGTTTTGATCCTTTAAATGCCACATCTTGTATCTGCCAAGCAATCATGGCACCCAGTAAGTATATGAGTGTTACTTAAAGTGGCAAGAAAAGGTACAAGCGATTAAGTCTTAGAGGTATGAAGAAAATAGAGATACTATTAGACAAGAGATAGCCTATGGCGTTAATGAAGCGTCACTCTGTACAATTAAAATGAATGGGGTAAATATACGAGTTTGTGTGATACATAACTGACTGACTGACTTACTGACTTTACTGACTGACTTACTGAATGACTTACTGACTGACTTGACTACTGACTGGCTTTACTGACTGACTGATTTAATGATTGACTTTACTGATTTACTTGAGTGATTTACTGACTTACTGACTTGACTGATTTACTGACTTAAAATTACACTTTTTTCACTGAAGAGGACCCTGACAAATCTAGAAGCAGTTTCTGAAATGGTGTCTAGAGCAGCTGATGCCTTACCGTCAGAACAGAAATCCATTACAGAATTATTGCACACTCCAGTACAATCATCGACTTCAGTACCAGAACCTCTACCATCTACCTCAGCCCAATAGGGCCACATCATAACTCTCCATTCCTCACAATCATCGACAAACACCAGCACCCACTATTTAAGGTAAGAAACTATTATTTCTGTTGCATTCGTTGTCTTAAGCAGTAAAAACAACGTAATACATCCCGACAACGAACTACAATTAAACGTTCACTTTTATTTGACAATGAACTACAATTACATGTTCACTTTTATTTTTGTAAGATATGAAGGTCTAAAAAAGTTGTTCAGCTCTTCTGAGGCTCCCAGGAACGTAACCTTATTCTTCCCATAAGTTCTTCTGTTTATCTAACACGAATTAACCTAACACGGCATTTTCAGGAACATAACTACTGTGAGATATAATGGTTTATTGCACATTATTTAGGTTGGCTCTCTGGATCAACCTCAAAATTTCAAATGCTCCAAAAGGCTTAGAAAGATACCCCAGAATTTGTTTGCAAAATTCTCAAATACTGTATTACCCAACCTTTATTATAAAATAATAATAAAAGCTCAAAAATTGCTCATACTTAAATAATTTCTTCAGCTTACTTTAGATTTGAATTACTCACAGGATTGGGGAAAAAATGTAGTTTGGTTAAGCTCCTATTTGTTATTAAGTATTCCTGGAGAGAGGATACCTGAGAGGTTCAGTGAGTGTTCTTTTCTTCTGTGATAAACTGGAAATGGGTCTTTTGCTCAGCCTCAGACTTTCAACTGTTTTAAAAGGCTCAGAAAGATACCCTCTTAAAAACTGGTTGTAAAATTTGCAAATAGGGGCCATCACTGCCCAATAACAGCCCTAACCATTTCACTAAGACAAGCTCTCCAAGACTTACAAACTGGTGATGTTTTAGCCTCAGGTCTCAGGATTACTACCTACATGTCTCACAGCATACAATGATAATTACCACAAGCCTTTTGTCAATGTAACACTTAACTTTTTTTTTCTCTTTAGGTCACCCTGCCTTGGAAGGATATGGCTGGTTTATTGAAAAAAAAAATTGAATTCCATGGGCTGATGGAATCACAGTGCTTATTACACTTAGCTCTTATGGGTGACTCACTAACACTCTTTCAGGTCCTACCATCTTACATATATTCCATTACCTTCCTTGTGTTGTATGATAACATCAGAGGGATCCCTGCTGACTGCTGTCATACTAAGCAGCCAGCATTAGCAATAATCACTGGGCCACCAAGTAGGCAATAATAACTGCAGTTAAATCATGTAGACAGAAATACGTAACTACAGTCAGTGGGCTACCTACAGTCATACCAGGTAGACAGCAATAACTACAGTCAGTAGGCTACCTACAGTCATACCACAGTCAGTTGCCAGGTGTTGCCATACACAATTCATGCTTATTAACAATGAAATTTATTTATTTATTTATTTTTTTTTTTTATTAAAATATGTGGAGAATACTTTTATTCTAAGAAAAAAAACAGCAAATTCAATAGAGCTCTGAGAAACACACACACCATTCACATCACATTAACTTTACATCAGAATTTCTTTCTCTGTGTCTCTACAACCAATAGACTAGCTTTAGAGTCAGACACTGTAACTTAGGAATCTTTTTTCTCAGAATCAAAAACTTCATTTTGGTAATCTGAAAAATGACATGAGAATTATGACACTTGATGCTCAGTGTGCTGCTAAGTTCTGCCCCCAATCTGCTGCCTGGCAACAGCCAAGGTAGACTTTATTTGCAAAGTGAAAGAAGGCAGGGCAGCAATGAGTGCATCTTTATTTTTCTTCAGCTGCTAAAGTTCAGTGAAAATCATTACCCCCATGCAGCCCCTTGCCCACCATGCAGCCCTTTGCCCATCATGCAGCCCCTTGCCCACCATGCAGCCCCTTGCCTGCCATGCAGCCCCTTGTCCCACCCACCCAGCTTGTTTTCACTAGTGCAACTCAAACTCATGACTTTTTGAGTCACATTTTTATATAATTTGTTTTTTATATAATCCATAGCAATGCATTCCAAGGAATGTAAATCAACATCTATATTTTCCTCTGATAAGAGCAATAAGTCTGTGAAAGGGCAAGAAATAACCTTATTTAGTGTCTGGAGCTAATTTCTACAGGTACAACAGTCAATAGGGTTTGGTACAACCCAGATTATTGTCATATAAATTATCAAATAAAGTCTTGCCAAACTGGCCAATTTCAGTGACCCCCCCACACAGCATCATCCATGATATTTCTAGTAGGAAAAGAATCATGCCTCAAACCATTACCTTACACGTATCATTTGCTTATAATACTCTTAAACTGAAAATAAATAAATAAATTTACAGTGGTATCCCGAGTTTCGGTCATAATTTGTTCCAGAAGGCTGTTCGAGTGCCATTACCGAACGAATTTGTCCCATGAGGAATAATGTAAATTAGATTAGTCCATTTCAGACCCCCAAAAACACACTTACAAAAATATTTACAATAATACACTTACATAACTGTTCGAGTTGGGAGCTGTACGAAACTCGGGGTACCACTGCATTCTTGATATGGTAAAAGAATATAATTGAAATATTGACATACCACATCATCTACGTCTTCCCCAGGTATGTGGGACGGGCGTAAGACGAGACGTTCAATTTCTTGGTTAAGACCCTCCACAGAACTGCGTAATCGAGGAGGAAGCAACGGCTTTGGCAGCTGTGGTATCGGGATGGCACGGGACCCACCTGTTAACACAGAGTTGAAATGTTTAAATAAGCATCATTATAAAATATACACTTTTGCTTTTAGTTCATTAACTTGCATTAGTTCCAACAGCAAACAAAATACAGAAAATGTACAGCCTCTCCTCACTTAACGATGGAGTTCCGTTCCTGAGACAAAGTCGTTAAATGAATTTATTGCTAAATGAGGAGCATGCTATAATGGTAGTGAGTTTGTGTCAGTCATCTTTGATATTGTTTTAATGTCACCTTAGCACCATTTATAACATTTCTGTTATATTTTTAAATGTTTATACAGTAGTGTACTGTATATTAAAATAAACAGAATAGAGGAAATTAGCTCTAATATACATTATTTAAGTATGAATACTGTAGGTCAGAGAGCTCATCATAAGTCTGATGCACTGGTAAACGAGATGCCACTAAGTGAGGAGAGGCTGTAATGATCTGAACACGTAGTATACAAACAGAACAAACCTTTATGTGGATTAGTGCATCACAAAGAACTATGTGCTCTTAAAAAATCTGAGAATAATCCCTAGGAATACTCGCAATGCAAGTAAGCAAAAACTACAGTCAATGGCCACTTTATTAGGCACACCCTTCTAGTCTTGGGTAGGGCCCCCTTTGCCCCCAGAACAGCCTGAATTCTTTTTGGCATAGATTCAACAATGTTCTGGTTTATGTTGAAATTGTAACATCAAGCAGTTGCTGTAGATTTGTCAGCTACACATTTGTTCCTCGACTCTCCCAATTCACCATATCCCAAAGATTTATGTCAAAATTCTGACCCAACCATCTGCATATCACAGAGGAAATCCCAATTCATCAGACCAGGTGATGCTTTTCCAATATTCAACTGTCCAGTTTTGGTGAGCCTGTGTCCACTGTAGCTTCGGTGTCCTGTTCTTAGCTGACAGGACTGGAACCTGGTGTGGTTTTTCTGCTGTTATAGACCAACCACTTCAAGGTTTGAGGTGATGTGTATTCAGAGATGCTCTCCTGCATGCTATTGTTCTAATGCATAGTTACATGAGTTACTGTCACCTTCCTGTCATCATGAATCAGTCTAGCCATTCTCCTCTGACCTTTTTCATTAACAAGGAATTTCTGTCCACAGAATGATCTTTCATTGGAAGCTTTATGTTTTTCACACCATACTCTTTAAATTCTAGAGTCTAACGTGCATGAAAATCCCAGGAGATTAACCACTTCTGAGACACTCAAGCCAATATGTTTGGCACCTGCAATCATTCCATGTTTGAAGTCACTTAGATCACATTTCTTCCCCATTCTGATGTTTGGTTTGAACAACAACTGAGCCTCTTGACCATGTCTGCATTCTTTTTTTTAGACATTGAGGTGCTGTCACATGACTGGCTGATTAGATATTCACATAAACAAGTAGTTGTACTGGTGTACCCAATAAAGTGGCCACTGAGTGTATGTGAGAGTCTAAACTTCATGACATCCAACTAGGCCTAGTAGAGTAACAAGAACCTCTACACATTTCTAGAGCAACAAGAAACAATATCTACCATATAAATTGTTAAAACTTAATTAATATTTATGATTTAAGAATTGAAAACAAAACTTGTATGGCTTTTTCGTGGTGTCATGGCATGTAACCCAATTTTTTTGTAAGTTGTTCACTTCACTCGTCATGTTTTCACATAAAGCTCTAATTTTCTGGAACCTATTTTGTACCCAGGATAATCAAAGAAAGTCAAACAATGTGACTGATTTCCATGCTTCCATGGGTACCACACTGTAGTTGCTATCACCTCCACAACATACCACCCTTATCACCTATGATGACCTAGCACTGTCATCACCTAACACCTTCTATCACCACCTAACATCACCTTCAACCATCACCTAGGAAATGCCTACAGTGAGGAGAGGAATTTTCCAAACAGGATCCAACCGAATTTAAATTTTTTTCCCAACTTTACAGCACAGAGAGGAATTTTTTTGAGTAAGAACCAACCTAAATTCCATTTTTTCCAACTTCAGTTATGTTAACCCTTTAAATGTCAAACTGTTGATCTACACATTACTGCTAGCACTCCAGACGCTGATCAATGCTCTAATTTTTCTGCTTTTAAATTTGGCCCCAGATGCCCTTTGAAGTGTGTTTGAACTAATAACTAACATAACAAATGCTGTATTAGTGAAGGAACACAACAGAATCAGTGACTAACATGACTAACTTCAAAGATGACCTCAGGAACTGTACTACATGCCTAGCAACCTATGTGCATAGTGTAACTAGTGAAATACCTAAAAACATAGCTAACAAACATTTAAGTATTAATTAAAATACAGTATTTGGTTGGGGAAATATTGTGGGCAGAGATAATTAATGTGACGAAAGACTGGATATCAGATTGGAGGGTGGGAGTATGGAGGGGGAGGTGAATGTATTCAGATATTTAGGAGTGGACGTGTCAGCTGATGGGTCTATGAAGGATGAGGTGAATCACAGAATTGATGAGGGGGAAAAGGGTGAGTGGTGCACTTAGGAGTCTGTGGAGACAAAGAACTTTGTCCGTGGAAGCAAAAAGGGGAATGTATGAGAGTATAGTTGTACCAACACTCTTGTATGGGTGTGAAGCATGGGTGATGAATGTTGCAACGAGGAGAAGGCTGAAGGCAGTGGAGATGTCATGTCTGAAGGCAATGTGTGGTGTGAATATAATGCAGAGAATTCGTAGTTCGGAAATTAGGAGAAGGTGTGGGATTACCAAAACTATTATCCAGAGGGCTGAGGAGGGGTTGTTGAGGTGGTTTGGACATGTAGAGAGAATGGAACAAAACAGAATGACTTCAAGAGTGTATAAATCTGTAGTGGAGGGAAGGCAGGGTAGGGGTCGGCCTAGGAAGGGTTGGAGGGAGGGGGTAAAGGAGGTTTTGTGTGCGAGGCACTTGGACTTCCAGCAAGCATGCACGAGCGTATTTGATAGGAGTGAATGAATATACCTCTGATATACCTTTGAAGAATTTCAAGAGTTTATCTACTCTCTGAGACCAGCCATGGGCCAGGCTCGTCTGGTGCTTGCCTGGTCAACCAGGCTGTTGCTGCTGGAGGCCCGTTGCCCCACATATCCATCACAGCCTGGTTGATTTGGCACCTGGTGAAAATACTTGTCCAGTTTCCTCTTGAAGGCTTCTACACTTGTTCCAGAAATGTTTCTGATATCTTCTGGTAAGATGTTGAAAAGTCTGCGACCCCAGATGTTGATACAGTGTTCCCTTATTGTCCCCATCGCACCCCTGCTCCTCACTGGGCTTATTTTACACTTCCTCCCATATCTCTCACTCCAGTATGTTGTTATGGCAGTGTGCAGATTTGAGACCAAGCCCTCGAGTACCTTCCAGGTACATATCATGTACCTCTCTCTCCTATGCTAAAATGAGTACAAGCAGGCGTTCCCAGTAGTTTAGGTGCTTTACTGACTCAATGTGAGCCGTAAACGATCTCTCTATTTGTTCCAGTTCCGATATTTCTCCTGCCCTGAACGGGGCCGTCAGCACCGAGCAATATTGTAAGTGAGAGAGCACTAGCGATTTGAAGTGTGTCATCATCGGCATTATTTCCCTTGTTTTGAAAGTTCTCAATACCCACCCCGTCATCTTCCTGGCTGTCGTGATCTTTGTCTTGTTGTGGTCTTTAAAAGAAAGGTCCACTGACATAATTATTCCTAGGTCTTTTACGTGTTCCTTACGTTCTATTTGGTGACCCTCTTGAGTTTTGTATATAGTGCTCCTTTTGAGTTCTTCATTCTTTCCATACCTAAGCAGCTGGAACTTATCACCATTAAACGTCATGTTGTTTTCCACTGCCCACTGGAAAACCCTGTTTATGTCTTCCTGTACTTCTTCAGTGTCCTCTACCGTACTGACTTTCATGCTTATTTTAGTGTCATCTTCAAATGATGATACAAAAGTGTGCCAGGTGTTTTTGTCTATGTCTGCTATGAGGATGAAGAACAGCAGAGGTGCCAGGACAGTGCCTTGGGGCACTGAGCTTTTGACCTCGCTGATGCTGGATCTTCCCCTGTTCACTACTACTTTTTGTGTTCTGTGTGTTAGGAAACCGAAAATCCATCTGCCTACCTTCCCCGTAATGCCCATGGCCTTCATTTTGTGTGCTATCACGCCATGATCGCATTTGTCAAACGCCTTTGCAAAATCGGTGTAAATCACATCTGCGTTTTGGTCGTCTTCCAGTGCCTCCATAATTCTGTCATAATGGTTCAGCAGCTGTGACAAACATGATTGTCCTGCTCTAAAACCATGCTGGTTCAGGTTATGTTGGTTGTGCTGCTCCATGAAATTTGTAACCTGCCGTCTCATCACTCTTTCGAAGATTTTTATGATGTGAGAGGTTAGGGCTACTGGTCTGCAATTTTTAGCTAGTGCTCTACTACCTCCCTTATGCAAAGGAGCTATGTCTGCACTCTTTAAAGCCTTCGGTACTTTCACCTAGATCTAAGCTCTTTCTCCAAAGAATACTGAGGGCTCGTGCTAGTGGTACTTTGCACTTCTTTATAAATAGAGCATTCCACGAATCTGGTCCAGGTGCTGAGTAAGTGGGCATGTTTTCCATTTCTTTTTCAAAATCTATGGGATTTGTACTAATGTCAGTTAGTTGGTCTGTGCAACTTTCTTCTGGAATGAAAAATATTTCTGCATTTTCTACCTTGCTGTCATTTAGTGGGTTGCTGAACACCAACTCATACTGTTCTTTAAGGATTTTGCTCATTTTCCGTTAGTTGTCAGTATACGAGTCTCCTCTCAGTAGTGGTCCAATTCTACAGGTAGTTCTTAGCTTGGATTTTGCGTAGGAATAGAAATATTTTGGGTTCCTTGCAATATCCTGTATGGCCCTTTGTTCCCTTTGTACTTCTTCTGTGAGGTATGACATCCTAAGTTTTTGCTCTAATTCAGTAATCTCTCTGCTAAGTCTATCTTTCCTCTGTTGTAGCATATTTGTTTTT